CCAACCTTCCTTCCGAGGAGTGGCTGGTGGGTTTGAACCGCCAGCCTTCTGGTTAGCAGTCAAGTGCCTTAGGCACTATGCTACCAGAGCTCAAGGACTTGTAGGTCTCTTGTGATAATGGGATTTGGCCTGAGCATGCAGACTATGAGTAGTCCAGGGACTGGAATTCAGGCTTGAGAGCCAGGCATCACAGGCTCTCTGTTCAATTTCAGCTCCAAGACAATTGACTGCCTGATCCTCCAGCCAAGTGTTTACTCCAGGATGTGCTACAAAGACAAACACCTGAGAAAACCTTAGGCAGGTTGAGCATGAACCACCATGTGAATCAATTCACCCAAGGACTTGACAAAAATGCAGATTCCTGGACCCTACCCCTGGCATTCTGAATTAGTCCTGAAATCAGCCTTGTCAACAAGCTCATCAGATAATTTGCATGCTCATTGAAGTATGAAGACAACTTCTCAACTCTTGCCCCTCAAAGTGTGGTCCTGAGGCCAGCAGCATCAGCGTCACCTGGGAGTTTGCTAGAAATGTAGAATCCCAGGCTCATTGCAGATCTACTGACTCAGAACATGCATTTTAACAAGATCCCCACACAATTCTTTAAACTTTTGAGAAATGTTTTGCTAGAATAGTTTTTCCTTGTAACATGGCTCTTACCAGTTGGGAAGATAGACATTGAAGCAATGCAAGAAGAAGCTTCTTCTCAATTCTAACCACAGTTAGAATCATCAAAGAGCTTTTTAAGAATACTGATGTCTAGGCCCCACTACAGACCAATTTAATCTGGCCTTCTGGTGGGACCTGGGGATCTGTAATTTTTTAGAACTCTACAGCTAATCCTAATGTGCAGCCAGAATTGTGAACTACTATTCTACTGAAGTAAAACTCAGAATCAAAGCTTGAAGCCCCAGATCCATAGCATCACGTTGAGTCCCACTCCCTTGAAAAGCAATCAGGCATTTGCCTAGTAAGAAGGGATTCCTAAAATATTTGCCCTTTTCTAAGAAGAGGCAGCATAGGCCTTTTGAATGGCTACTCATTGTCTGTGCTCATAAAAATATGCTGGGCCTCCCCACTGCCTGGGAGCCCAAGGGCAGCATCCCATCCCCTTTGTTAACCAAGGGCTAGCTTTGGGCATCCTCAGACAGGGAAATGGCTCCTTCTGAAGCAGCATTTCTCTTTGCTTTCTCTGTCCCTGGGATTTGTGATGCTAGACAAGGCATATGACTTCTCACCATGTCATTTTCCTCATTGCAGAGAGAAAACACAGTGTCCATTGATTCTTTTGGTTAAGCTGACTGGTGCCCCTGGCTCATGTCCAATGACTATTTCTCTTTGCAATAGTCCTCAGCTGGGCGTGAGCCAGGAGGGAGATGGCTGCCCACACGCAGCACCAAGCCTGGAGGGCTCTCTGCCCTGTGAGCTCTCCAAATGAAGGCTTGTTCCACTGATTCACTTAAAGTCAGGCAGGTCCATCAGAAAGCTTTGGAACACATTAAGAACAGAAATGCTACTGGATTCCTTTGAAAATATGTCAGCTACATTTAAGTCCAGACTCCAGTAGGTCCAGGCTGTGGGGTTATAAATTCTTCTTTTCATACGAAATGTTCCTAATTAGTCTGGATAAACTCTGTTGAATGCATGGAATTATCATCTTTATTTCTATAATTATTGATAAGGGTGGTATTTCTTTTTAACATCTCTCTATCAGCAGCCACTCCTCGGAAGGAAGGTTGGGCAATCCTACTTCCGTAGTGATACTGCCTCGGAAACCCAAGGAGGGGTCGCTATGAGTCGGGGCCGACTCGACGGCACATAACAACAACAACAACATCACATGCTGCTGCATTCATCCTCCCCATCTTTCTTTCCACGTACTACTAATAATATTGAGTGTGCCAAAGCATCTCACACACTTTACTACTTCATCCTCACACCCTCTTAAGAGGCAGATTCTATTATTATACCCATTTTACAGATGCAAAACTGAGGTTTAAGTAAATGAAGTAATTCGCCCTAGGTTCCACAGAGTACAAATGACAGAGACTGGATTCCAGCCATCGGTAGATACTAAACAGATCCTGTTCCTGTTTTTAGGATGTTTTCCAATCCCTCTGCTTCAAATTCCTGTGCTTCCTAGAGGCAGGGCCTTCAGCTCCGGATACTGCTTTCTGGCTATGTTTATTTACAGACTGGTTATAGTGTATGCCAGAATCAAAAGATAATATGCCAGGGTCAGAAGGTGTATGGTAAGGTCAAAAGGATTTGGAATCAACCATGAGGCAGAAAGAGAAGAACAGGAACTAAATTTAGATTCCTAGTTCAAACCATATACCAAAACATATTCCACATGAATTAAAAAACTATTCTAATTGAAATTATGGAAGTACAAGAAGAATACATAGGTGAATAGTTATATAATCCTGAGATAGGGAAGCCTTTGTAGAAGACAGAAGCTACAAATTAAAATATTAATTTTGACTACACAAAAATCTTAAGTGTAACTTTAAGTGTAAAAAGCCACTGACAAATTGAAGAGGGGAGTTGCAAAACATAGCACAAAGAATTAATAGTTTGAATACATAAAGTGTTGCCGCAAACCTGTAAGAAAAAAAAAATGAATGCTGCAATTAAGAAATAAAACTTAAACAACTAAAAAGAAGCCTAATATTCATGAATGGTAAAGGAGATTTCTGGCCCTAATTCATTTCTTATAGATGGGAGAATGAATTGACATAACCTTTCAACAAATGTAATAAAACGCTTTTGTTTTTAAAAAAAAAAAAAAAAAAAAAAACCTCACAACAGTTGACCCGACCATTCTGAGTAATGGATTCTAAGGAAATAATTAAGGAGGTGCATAGTGACCGGCAGAAGAATGACCCTGGAATGGTATGAACTGGAGTGAAAAACATGGCAACACCATAAAGGCCTAGCAGGGGAATGGTTGAAAATAATGCCAGTACCTTCCTGCATTGTAATTATTATGTAGTCATTAAGTACATTTATTTAGCTATATTCACTGGAATAATGCTCATATGGAAAGATATTCACAATATATTGTCTAGAAAAGAAAAAGGGAGTTATCCCACAGAAAGGCTGTTTTCATACTTAAGGATATAGAAGAGAAGTTCGTCTCTAGGTAATGGGAGTATGCTTGGTTTTTATAGTCCTCCTTTCGCGTGTTTGCATTTTTCATTAATGCTACAATAAACATGTACTGCTTTGTAACCAGAAAGAAAAATACAACAAAAGTTGTAAAAGAAAAATGGTTACAAAACCCCATTCCTAGCCCCTGGGCTGTCAGGAATGGGAGGGTTCCGAGTTAGTCATAGACCACATCCTCCGAGGGGAAGCTCAGACCTGTCCGGTGAGTGGGTCTCACCCAACCAGCACCCTCCTGGCACCACGAAGACTTGTGCCTCCCGGAAGCCAGTCCAGCAATCAGCCCCCAACTCTCCCTCAATTTTCCTTACAGGGATTTGGGCCCCTACTCTCAGGTCTGTGCCCTACAGAGGGTACCTGAGGGACCTCTGGGCAAGCAGTGTTTACCTGCGGAAGTTCCATGAGGCAGTCAAGGATGCAGCCCTGATTCCAGTGTTGGCCCTTCTTTCGACCATATGTGGGCTTTTTTTTTTTTTTTCTAGGAGGCAGGATTCTCCCCCTGTGGACATGCCTAACTACAACTTCTTTGAGTCCCCTGCCCTGCAATAAGGATTTGCTAGTGAACTAAGGGGGCTGGCTCTCCACGTGGTGACAGACCCACTAACTCTTTGCCAGCTGCCTCTCAGTCACCTCCGCTGTCCTGAAGCAACCCCACCAAGCCTCAGGTTGGCCCTAGGAAGAACGAGAGCAGATAAGGCAGCACCAGCGAGGGTGGTGGCTCCGCAGCGGCCCCGAGGAGCTGCGCCGGCGAGCTGGAGGGCCTGAGCAGAGCCGACGCCGAGTGCTGGGAACTCATTTGCATACAGTTACTAGTTCCCGGAGAGGGGGCAAGAGTTCGTCCGAGCGGCACGCCGCACAAGGTGGGGCTCGAATGGTGCCGCGGAGGCCTGTCCTCCACCGGCGCAGGCCGGGGCCGCGCACCAAGGTGGGGCGTGCGCCGGCTTCACTCTCATCCTGGGAGTTCTGGGTGCCTCCACCCCACCGGCACGTCGGCCGGGCCTGTGGGGTGGGTTGTCCCCAGACGCCAGTTCCCGCCCTGCACAGGGCCTCTGGATTTTTCCCGAGCTGCAAAGCCGCGCTCCGCGGGGGCACTCGGGCTGTCCCGACTCTGCTGCCTGGGAGGCGGACGTCGCTCGCGGAGAGACAAGCCCTCCCTCGCCAGCCTAGTCCGGAATTAGACCCGCGGACACAGTGGGGCGTCCTTGCACCCTTCCTCTCTCCTCTGGGCCAATTTAGAGGGCTCAGAGTTGTACCGCAACTACGGACCTTGGTTCGGAGCCCGCTAAGCCTCGGCGTTGAGAGAACGCGGGCGGGGGCCAGCCAGGGCGCTGCGTGGCCTGGGGTTTCTTTTGCCGGTGACCTCTGCGCTTCCATTGCCCCCACCCCAGGAGCGGTTCCATAGGCCCGCACTGGAGGTGTGCGGCGCACAGCGGCGCCCTCTCCCCGCGTGACCGCCTCGGGGGCGCGGCGCGCTCACGGCACGTGGCGCTGCTGGACGCGTCCGGAGGAATGACCCAGGACTGTCTAGAGGAAAAGCGGTGACGGCCCTGCCCTACGGCCACTGCTGAGCTAGCGAGCCCACAAAAGTCCAGAACGAATTTACTAAAAGAGAACATGTTTTTAAGAATGGAAATTTGAGAGAGTAACAGCCGCAACATCTCCGAAAACGGCAGGGGGAAAAAAAAAAAGTCAGAATCAGGCTTTTGCGCAGGGACTCAGATTTTCAATAAGCGCTTAATTGAAAATAAAATATATTGATGCAGTAGGCAAGTCGCATTCCTGGGAAGGTAAAAATACAGTGGACTCCCGCACATCCCAGATGTTCCACCTGCCTGCTGTAATTACAGGGCTTCAGAGAGGCGGGAAAAGAACACGACAGAGAGAAATCTGCTTGCATATTTTTCTTCTATTGTGTTGGGCTCATTTGAATTATAATGTGTTGCAGGCCAGAGTAGGAAATTTTGTGCCTTGAATAATGAATCCCCCTGGAGCCCACGGTACCTGTACTTCTTTTTAGTGTCCACTGAGAATAACGTGTTCGACATTCAAGTGACAACGCTGGAAAGGATTTCAAAGCCCGGGGGCTCAGAACGCTGCACGCCCCGACGGCTCTCCTGCCTGCCCTCTCTTTGGCTTCCAAATGCAGCAAGCTCTTTCTTTACTTAAAATGTGTTCATCTTTCACAGGGGACCTGGATGTACTACAGAAATGCTGCAAGGATAGGTAGGCTCTCGCTTTGGAATCCGAGCTAGCCCTGCTCGGCACTAAGCTTCAAAGCCGCTACGGCTGGAGGATGTTTAAAAATGGAAAAACTGGGGAACAGAGAGACTCAATCTCTTGTTAGAAGCCAAGACAGGCCTTCCCGGTCTCAAAATCATTCCACTGGCTCACCCTGGCTTTCCACAAGAAAGATAATAAATACTCAGTAATTTAATAAAACACATGCATTTAAGTCACACAGCAGCCGGATCTTTGGGACATTCCATGAGTCTGAATGGCCGTTTGAAAGAGATTTTAAGTTAAAGAGGAAGATGCAGAAAAAGTCTGAAAATCTCAGAGATTTTGAGAGAGAATGAAAGCTTATGAAATGACAGAAGCAAGTTGACCTCTTATGCCAAAACTTTCAAACAAGCATTTTTTTTTCACTAATTGCCCCAAAAATTAAGGTGTATCTGTATAATATCTTGCAGTCATTTAAAAAAAAAAAAAAAAAAAAAAAAAAAAAAAAACACCTATTTATCGATAATGGAAGGATTTCCAAGATAAATTGTCAAGTGAAAAAGCAAATATGCTACAATATGTATACCTTTTAGAAGGCGATCTAGTTAGTAAGAAAGGAGGCAGGTGAATTTTTATTTCTTTCTCTAAATCTTTTGCCATTTTGTTCTAAACATATAAATGAATTGTTTTAAAAATAAAAATTTAGAAAATTTACAGTCTTTCATCCTGTAATACAGTCAAATAAAGACTCGATGAAAGAAAAAGGATTAACTGATGATCCTGATTCTTAAAGGTACCATATTTTTTTCTGCAAATAGCACCCACATAAATAACACATACCACATACAATATGTGGAAATGATGAAATTATGTAAAAAAGTTATGGCATAGCCCAGCCATGCATATATTGCACATATCTCCTGACCTTACCAGAAGTGAATTTTGGTCTTATTCACCCTCATTCAATAGTCCAAAAATGTTGCTTTTGATCATATTTGTATAATAAAGGTACAAGTCAAGGTCAAGAAGTTACAGATCAAGTTTGGTAGCACCATGGCAATCAGAAAATAAACAATTGAAAGTGTGTGTTTGTTTATATTCATTTAAGTTGGTAGTTATATCCCCATCACTTTGAAGTCATTAATTGGAACCCTGGACCTACTGAAGCTTGTCCATAAATATTTTGCCATCAATTGGAAGTGTAAAGAAAGTGAAGTCTGCACTGGAATAAATGGCATTGAGTAGCTGTCGATAGGACTCTCTATTCTCTTCAATCTGCACTGACATAATTATCACATTTTCCAACTCCGGCTTTTAATTGGAGGAGTAAGCAAAGCAAAACTGATACACAGTGGCTCTTGGCTCAACAGTTGAATGTGAAAACCTTATCAAATCATCTTAAGTGAAACAGTTAAGCAGTGTTAGGGCTGCTTATTTCAAAGTCTAATTACATCTTATTAGTGACAATGTTTTTGATCAACGATCATGAGTCACTTTTGTCATATTCTTGTGAGCAAACAAAAAGTCTCATCTCACATTTGAATTTTGGGATTTTTTTACTAGAACTAGCCGGTTAGCAATTACATTGTGCATATTTTTTCACTTTATAAATCCAAATCTTAGAACCCTTTAGCATCATGTCAGAAATTAAATGCAAGTCCTACACTGAAAGTCCTCGTGAGGGTGGAAGAAACAAGCAACAGAAAGGCAACAAGAGAGTTCAAGTTTGGAGAGTTGTCCATATGCAAATGGAGAAAGGAGCTGGAGAAAATAAATCTGTGAAAATGTGCACATCATGGGCCCAAATCCAAATGAGTTGGAGTAGAGAATGACTTGAAAAAGTGGATTACTTCTCTAAGAGAAACAAATCAAGTTGTCTCTACTGTCCAATTCAGATTAAACAAAAGGTTCTGGCAAATGAAAGGGAAATTCAAGGCTTCAAAGTCTTTTGACATCCTGGCCACCAGGACTGTAGCTGTTTCAAGTACGAAAACTGTAGCCATTAAAATAACTGGGCACAAGAGGACTTGCTTCACTGTAGTGTTTGGTTGTTCTATGAGAAGGATAAAATTAAAATCAATGGTGAGTTTCAAGAGAGTGACTATGCCCTGCCAAAAACTACCCACCAATGTGGTTGTTTATTGTGAGAAGAAGGGAGGGATATACTATAATGTTACGATAATATAAGTAGATAAATGTTATAGAGCCAGGCACAGGAGATTATTTTTGAAGAACTCTTTACTAATTCCTGATGTTCAAAATTGTATTAACCAGAAAAAAACAAACCCATTGCCATCTAGTTGATTCCAACTCATAGCAACATCCATTGGATTTCAGAGGCAGTAAATCTTTATGGAAGTAGATTGCCCTATCTTCCTCTCATGGAGTGGCTGGTGGGTTTGAACCACCATCCTTCTGGTTAGCAGTGAAATGCCGGCACTGCACCACCAGAGCTCTTTATATTAACTCAACTGATCCCCATATAGCACTCCTACCTGGTTTCCTTATCTGCAAGCTGCAGCCACTAGTTATAGTGGTCAACCATCCATTTGGGACTTCCATGAGAAGAGAGAGGGATGACTGGATGAAGTCTGAGATTCATAAATTCATACAATCAGGATGACTGAAGCAGGTGACATTTACAGAAGCCTATAAGTGGGTGTTTGAGCTACAAGGGCAGCTAGAGAAGACAAAGTAATGTAATGAAATGTGCAAAGACCTGGAATTAGAGCACCAGATAGGAAGAACACATTCAGCATTTCTCAAGCTGAAAGAACTGAAGAAATAGTTTAAGCCTTAAGTTATAATATTGAAGGATTCTATGATCAAAATATTGAATGATGTAGTAAACATCAAAAGAAGATGGAAGGAATACAGAGTCACTGTACCAAAAAGAACTGGTCAATGGTCAACTATTTCAGGAGATAGCATTTGATCAAGAACCAATGGTATTTGAGGAAGAAGTCCAAGCTGCACAGAAGCAATTGGTTAAAAGCAAGGCTTCAGGAATTGACGAAATATCCATTCAGATGTTTCAACAAATGGATGCAGCACTGGAGGTGCTTACTCCTTTATGCCAAGAAATTTGGAAGACAGCTACCTGACCAGCTGACTGGAAGAGATCAATACTTGTGCCCATTCCAAAGAAAGGTGATCCAGCAGAATGTGAAAAATATTGAACACTATCATTAATATCACACACAAGTAAAATTTTGCTGAAGATAATTCCAAAACGGTTGTAGCAGTATATTGACAGGGAACTTCCAGAAATGCAAGCTGGATTCAGAAGAGGATGTTCAATAAGAGATATCTTTGTTGATGTCAGATGGATCTTAGCTGAAAGCAAAGAATACCAGAAAGATGTTTACCTGTGTTTTATTGACTATGCAAAGACATTTGACTGTATGGATCATAATAAATTATGGATAACATTGTAAAGAACAGGAAATACAGAACACATAATTATGCTCACGAGAAACTTGTATATAGACCAAGAGACTGTCATTCAGGCAGAACAAGGGGATACTGCATGGTTTAAAATCAGGAAGGGTATGCATCAGGTTTGTATCCTTTCACCATATTTATTCAATCTGTATGCTGAACAAATAATCCAAGAAGCTGGACTATGTGAAGAAGAATGCTGCATCAGGATTAGTGGAAGAATAATTAACAACCTGTGATATGCAGATGACACAACCTTGCTTGCTGACAGTGTAGATGACTTGAAGTACTTATTGATTAAGATCAAAGTACGGATGGATTTCACCTCAACATAAAGAAAACAAAAATTCTCACAACTGGACCAATTAACAACATCACAATAAGTGGAGAAAGGACTGAAGTTGTCAGAGACTTCATTTTACTTTGACCTACACACTAAGAGCTCTGGTGGCATAGTGCCCAAGGCATTTGACTGCTAGCCAGAAGGTTAGAGGTTCAAACCCACCAGCCACTCCTCAGAAGGAAAACTAGGCAGTCTACTTTCATAGAGATACTGCCTCAGAAATCCAAGGAGGGGTCATTATGGGTCAGATTTGACTCAACGGCAGTGAGTTTTGCATTTTTGATGATCAATACCCATTGAAGCAGCAGTCAAGAAATCAGATGTCATATTGCACTGGGGCAAATCTGCTGCAAAAGACTTCTATAAAGTGTTAAGAAGGAAAGATGTCACTTTGAAGACGAGTGCATCTAATCCAAGCCATGATATTTTCAGTCTCCTTCTATGTATGTGAAAGCTGGACAATGAATAAAGAAGACCAAAGCAGAGTTAATACCTTTGAATTGTGGTGTTGGTGAAGAACACTGAAAATACGATGGACTGCCAGAAGAATGAACAAATCTGTACTGGAAAAAGTGCAGTCAGAATGCTCCTTGGAAGTTCAGAATGGCCAGTCTTCATTTCACCTACTTTGGTCATGTTGTCAAAAGGGACTATTCCCTGGAGAAGATATCATGGTTGGTAAAGTAGAGGTCAGCCAAAAAGGAGAAGACCCTCAACAAGACGGATTGACACAGTGGCTGCAAAAATGGGCTCAAGTATAGGATGAGTTGTGAGGATTGATGCAAGACCAGGCAGTGATTCATTCTGTTGTACATAGTGTTGCTATGAGTCAGTGCCAACTTGATGGCACATAACAACAACAAGTGTGTTGCTTCTGCCTGGTGGCAAATAACTCCAGAAATGATACATAACAGCTTCAGAAGCTTTGGGATTGCTTGCCAGCAGAATACCAATGATGAAAAATTAAGATGCTGAAAACTGTGATGATGATACCATCATTTCAAAAGTCACAGAAGAGCATCTTCAACCAACTCTGTGATATTTCAAAGGTGACAATGAGAAAGGATCAGACTCTGAAGAGTTCCAGGAGTTAGATGATGGTGATGATGATGATAAGGAATGAATAAACTAACTTGGCCTACTTTAAGATGAAAACACAATTTCTTCTGATGATTTTTGTTCATTGATTTCAAAGACATTGATTATCAAAAGTTATGTTTTCGTTTAAGATTTATGAAAGGAACAAAATATAAACATCATCTTGTTCTTGTAGTTGCAGGCCTAGGATCATTTCTCACTTATTTCTAGCTCTTTTTGCATTCATTCATACTCTTTTGTTTCAACAAGGCATCACATTTTCATCACAAGCCAGTTCAATTCACCATTGGTGGCACATGATTTAAGAAAATACCTACCTTAAATGAAGTTTCCATGAGATTAGTTTTATCCCAGCAACATTAAACCTGTTGGACAGGAAAAACAAAAAAAAATTAAATTAAAGCCAGCAGCAACATATAAAAAATACCGGTATAACGCACTTATGGAAATATTGTGCAGGGGTTGTTCGTTTTGCAAAAGTGTATAATGTGCACATTATTTGTGTAAGATAGGGTAATTATAGTCATTACTTTCTTATCTTTTTATCATGTCTGTTAACAGCTTGCCAAAGGAAGCAGATTTTATTTATTTCCTCTACCTGGTCCTTCTCTCACATAGGCACAAATAGGCAGATATACTGCTGTTAGGTGCCACGGAGTCAGCTCCTACTCATGGTGACCCTGTGTGAAACAGAACAAAACACTGCCTGCTCTTGCATCATCCTCCCGTTCATTGGTATGTTTGAGCCCATTGTTGCATCCACTGTGTTAACCCTTCTCATTGAAAGTCTTCCTCTTTTTCACTGACCCTCTGCTTTACCAAGTAAAAATAATGTCCTTCCCCAGGGACGGACACAAGCTATGTGAGATGAAGTCTTGCCACCCTTGCTTCTAAGGAGTATTCTGGCTGTACTTCTTCCAAGACAGATGTATTTGTTCTTCAGACAGTCCATGGTATATTCAATATTCTTCACCAGTTATCCTAATTCAAAGGCATCAATTCTTCTTCAGTATTCTTTAGTCATTGTCCAGCTTTCACATGCATATGGGCCAACTGAAAATGCTGTGAATGGGGCCTTAAGGTGACATCTTTACTTTGGAACACTTTAATCTTTTGCAGCAGATTTTCCCAATGCAACATGTTGCTTGATCTCTTGACTGCTGCTTCCATGGGTGTCAATTGTGAATACAAGTAAAATGAAATTCTTGACAACTTCAATATTTTCTCCAGTTATCATGATGTTGCTTATTGGTTCAGTTGTGAGGATCTTTGCTTTCTCTAAGTTAAAGTGTAATCCATACCTAAATGACCTGAAAATGGGACATAGGAGAAGACAAAAAAAATGAAGCCAAGACCAGGTTTAACCAACAAGTTAACAAAGGACAGCTGACTTAACCTCTTCACT